CCCTGCCCCCTCCCCTCCTGGTCAGCTGACCCAATCAGTTGCCTTAGCAATGCCCCCACCTGTGCTGCCTTGGTGAGTGGCAGCTGAGCCCATTCACTATTATCCAGTAGCAGGCACCCTAGTGCCCTGCTACAGTAATCTATGGACTTATTTCTGCTCTCAGTTTATTCAGTTTGGGGAGATGCAAGCCCCAAGTTAACCATCAAATTGTGAGCCATGACAAAGTTATTTAAATATAATGCTATTTAAAGAAGAAGTGTTGTTCTTATTGGCATGATTGTGCCTATGACTTTTTTGTAAGGAAAATAATTTAAATCACAGTCAGACCAAAATTTCAAACATAGATGCTTATTGAGGCTGCTATATCCACATCAGTCATCTGAATAAAAGTTACCTATCTGTTGATACTGACCACCAACTACTTCCAGAGAAACTGCAGATTCCCAACTGTTGTAGAAATCAGACAAATATTTGTTTAGATGCATAGCTAAGAACCAAATCTGAGGCACCCAAGTTTCAAAAATCTGGCCTCTGTTTTCAGTCAAATTGGTTCTTGCTTGTATGGCTCCATATAAATATGTGATAAAATAGCTTTGAACTCCTTTTGACTCTAATCTTGTCATAAAACATTTCATTTTACAATATTTATACTAATCCTTTTTGTCTGTTAATCCATGTTAAATATACCCCAGATTAGTTTCAGAAGAGTTGGTAAATAATGCAAGTGTCTCTGCTACTAGAAGCAGCCTTATTGACTTTCTGTCTAAGTGCTTCTTGGCATAAGCTTCAATACAGCCTGTAGAGGACAACCACAGAGACATTCACCATAGGCAACATTAACATATCTCTGAGCTACAGTATCATTATTTTTGCAGTTTTGATAATACACTTAATGTACAGTCATCTATATAGAAACATGCTAGGATTTTGATGTTCAACCAGAACCAGAAAGTTCTGACTTCTGTGTTTGAGTCCTGTCTTTTGATATTTGAATTAAGAAGCTCATAGGCAGTAGTGGATTTATGGATAATATTTTTGATAAACACCTTCCAGAAGCTGTAATTGGAATAAGAGCAAGTTGGATTATTAGTTATGAACATTTTTTGGCTTTGGCTCAGTTTGTAAACTCTGTGAAAAGCAATCACAGATCCTATTAACAGTCTACAATAATTTTGTAATAGGAGGACTTTGGTCTGCTCTTTTTGGCCAAAGTTTGTCCCTTTGCTGCTGGAGGTGCATCGATGAGCATGCATGTGTAGTTTGAGATGCCTCAAATCCATTTGAGGCATCACAGACTGCACCTGGCACACATGCACCCATTCACCATGCTGCTAATTTTCAGTGCAGTGATTTTTTTGACACTGGAGATCCGCAGCTAAAAAAAAAAAAAGAGCACAACACATGCAGCAACAGTGCATGCTACCCGAAACACAGCCTGGCTGGCCAGACCCACACTCTTGCTGCCGTCCAGGTTCTGAGTGGCCGGCTTGGCATTGCTGCTGCTCTGGAAAGCCCTCAGGGCCCCAGGTAATGCTGCTGGGGCTACTCAGGGCAATTTGCCATGCACCAGAGCGCGCACGCAGGGGCATGCTCAAACATATTTGTGCCGCTGCTATTTGTCCCACAGGAAACGCGAGCTCATGCATGTGAGGAACAAAAAATGTTCCCTACACTGTATATTTGCAACGTGGGAGTCAAAATTTGGTACCTGGATCTCCAGGTACCAAAAAATCCCCATTTCTGTACTATTCCTAGTAGCAAAAACATTTCTTACCTTTCCTTTCTCACTCCCTGTTACTAATGAGGGTGCCCACACTCACACTCTCAACAGTCCTTCTTTACCTTGCAATGCACACAAAACAAACACATCACACTGTTCACACCCTCTGTTTTGCACCAACACCTTAACAATCTTTGTAAAGACACTCACTGCTTAGGCTCTACTTCTGTACATTTGCACAGTTTTTAGCACAGGGGTTAATTGTCTCTGCTACTGACTTCTTATTGGACCAGGAATAAGAGTTATTGTACTTAACCTAAACAAAACACAGCATGACCTCAGGCACTCTGAGATCAGGTAACAACTTTTTCTTAAAACAGGTTTTCCTTACGTTCTAGTCTTGCTCTTTCCTCCTGCCCTTCTTGCATGCAATCTGTTAATCCCTTCACTGCCTCTCTTTCTAAACACTTTCCACATTTCCTTCTGTATAACAAATGCCTTATAGCTTTCACTTTCCTTGGTCTTTTATGAAACAGCACTTCTTTTCCACAGCCTGCCATAAAAGCCACACTGCAGCCCTGTGCTGAAGATGAGGATTTTTCAACTGCTGAATCAGTTTCTTAATTACTTTTGGTTTGGTGGCAGTAACCAAAACATTGACTGCCTTACAATCCTGCTTTAAGCCATCATGTCTCTGAAAGGCACTCAGACTCCAGGGACAGGTACCTTTTTTAAAATTTATAATTCCTCCCTAGCAGTCCACTTGGACAGGTCCTTTGCTTCTTGGTTAGACCCAGACTTTTCCTTAAATATTTTCAAAACAAGGGGGAGGCTTCTTCCTCCAAACAGTGGTCTTCCCCCATAAGGGTGACTCTTTAAACAATGGTCTCCTCTAAAAGGGTAACTCATGAACTTTGTTGCAGGGACACCTTCCCCTACACTCAACAGCTGTCCTCTCTAGGACAGCTTAAATGCCTGACCTTCCCATCAAAAGGTATGCCTCCCTCACAAATGAAGGGAGGGCCTCCTAGTTGGTCTAGTGTCACCCCAAAAGATTAAATGGTCCACCCACATTCTCCACCAAATAATGTTGGATGAAAGACCAACGCATGAGTTCAGCAACCAAGATCTTTATTGAGTGACACACATAAATCAAGTGGGAAAAAGCAATGCTTTATCTAAAACCATTCATACTCTCACACACATACACACAGGGCAATCCACTGGTGCTCAGGTTCAGTCACAATGGTCAGTCATAGTGCCTCTGGACATGATGATCTTATGGGAGGGACACCGGTAGTTTTAGTTGATGCTGATGGCATATGATATAATCAGGGCCGGTCTTCACTGCTGTGGTGCCTCTGACAACCCATTCAGCCAATTACTATGTTGACTTCACCAAAACTCACGGTCTTTTGGCTACATACATCATGGCTTAGGTATGCAGATGGATGGATGGTGAGGAATTGCTTGTTTTACAACCTCCTGAGACAGGAAGTTTGCTTTGCTCCTTTTCTTGTAGATGGTTTGTTAGTTCTCAAGGCTGCTTTCTAAGCAGACAGGGTATACTTGAAAAACATATTAACTCATGAATTCATCCAAAATTAATTCTCAACACCCCCAAATCCCCCCATATCCTCCTACACCCCTTGCCATCCCCCTCCTGCAAACCCCACATCCCCCATCACACACCTACCATGTGATAAGAAAACATCAAAACGTATAGATATTTAGGTTTTATTTTATTGTGATGAGAGAGACACTTGTAGGCTTCCAAATTGCTTTAACATTGTAAGTATAGCAATGAAACATTGCCCATCTGTTCATTCTCTCTCTCATGTACATGTGCATAGTGGTCTTTTGTTCTAATGGTGGAAGAACATGGGTTTTGGGGTATTTTAAAAAGTGACTTTGGGATGCTGTTTCAGCAGTCCATCTGGCACAAGGGGTAGTGTCCCAATACCAATTGGCCAGGCCCTAGAAGCTCCTGTCTATTTGTATCCTTCAAATACCATGGGCTCTAAGGCCCGCTGGCTAACTAACAGCCCCTACAGTGTGGGGCCAATGGGTGAAAGAGAACAGAATTCTTGGGACAAAGGCAAAAACAAGACAGGAGTGACATGTTGGGCCACGTCCCCTGGTCCTGCTGGCTCCCATGAGAGTCCCGTTTGCCCCCACAGTGGGGGTTACAGGCTTGCCTATAGGGGTGGTACTCAAGTGGACAAGCTCCAGTAGGAGAGGTTGGGGATGGGGGGGGGCAATTGCAGCAGAGGCATGGCTGGGGCAGGGGGGCCCTACTCCCCCTCTCACCTCAGCTGCTGCTTCCCTCCCCGGGACTCCACCAAACTTGGTTGGGGGCGGGGTCCCCTGAGTTCCTGGTGGGGGGGTTAGGGCTGGGTGTTGTGGCTGTGGTACCAGGAGGACCCAAGGGAGGAGGGGTGCAAGTGGCAGGGGTACCCCTCTTGCTAGTGAAACCCACAGATGCCTTCCCCACCCTGGGACACTCATGACACATGTGCCCCAGGGAGTGGCACCAGAAGCATTGTAGGTCCCTCTGTGTATAAAACATCCTCACCAGGGCCCCCTTAAAAGGAATCACAAGGCATCTCTTGGCCTCCACCAGCTGCACTCCTGTCACCAGTTGGATCATGACCTGGCAACAAAAAGAGAACACATGATGGAGGCTGGGGTCTTGGCACCCCAGTGAGAGGGCCACCACTGGGGAGATAACCCTTCCCAGGGTTTGGAGCTGGGGGAGCAGGTCTCAGTTGAGAATATAGGGTGGGACAGAGCTGAGGACCACCTGGGTCTCCAGCTCTTCTAGGGGTTCAAGAGAGATCTATTTTCCCTTCACTATGAGTCCCCTCTCCACTGCCTTTTGTGCAGCGGCTTCT